CTTTATTTTATAATTTTTCGTGAACTTTTGTTATTGTTAATATTCTTAGTTAGTAAGTATATATATTCTTGTTTTAGTTATTATTAAGAGAAATAATACAAGTAGAAGATTATGATTTAATGAAAATACTCAATCAAATAAAAAGACTTTGATTCTTTTCCTAATGCGTATATTGCTTATAGAATAATGTTAACAATTCATGTAACTATTGCCTCGGCCGAAAGAAGTTTTTCGAAACTAAAATTGATAAAATCTTATCTGAGATCAACAATGTGAGATTGAATGCATTAGCTATATTATCAATTGAAAAGAAATTACTAAAATAAATCGATTAGAAAACAATAATTAATGATTTCACATCTAAAAAGGCAAGAAAAATAGATTTTAAATAGATATATACATGATTATTATTTATTTTTTAAAAAATAAAATTACGCCCCCTCTTTAAGGTTTGGCTTTAGGCCCCCAATCCTGTTGAGTCGGCCCTGGTCACACCTCTGATTTTTGGGGCGTAATGCACCCATTCCCCCCATAAGAGGGAACAACCATCTCATTCAACACTGTAGGGATCTGTAAAAAGATAAATTGAAGTAAATTAGATCAAATTAAGAAGTAATAGAACGTAATTGTAAAAATCAATAGTATTTGGATTGGTGTGGTTTAGTTCGAAAAAAATCGAACTGAAATCGACAAATTATATACATATATTTTATTATTATACATACATAATATATTATTTTAAAAAACAATTTTCTTATATGTGTTTTTATCAAAATTTATTTATAATTTACTTATGAAAGCAAAAATGCTCAAGGTGAGAATATTTATCTTATTGGTTTATGTATATAAGTGTCTATGACAATTCTTTATGAGATTGAAATGTCAATGTCTCTTCCTTCTAAGCCAAAATAATGAATTGTGAAGATTTATTCATAGTAAATTCAATGATTGAAAGTTATGTAATGCCAATCATTCTAACTATTTTTCATTTTGAATGGATTGTTGTCACTTTTTTCATGTTTTGAATGAATTATTTCTTTTATTTTTGTCTATGATTAATAACCGCATAACCGAACCGAAATCGATATATTAGATTCGATTTGGTTTGGTTTTGATAATTTTAAAAAAGATTAAGTTGGTTTGGTTTTGACCAATAACTGATCCAAATCGACCCGTGAACACCCCTAGACTTGTACATAAATCTAAAATTGATGGAAGCATAACTAGTCATTGCATCGATTTTGAGCGGAAAAAAAATCACAATTTCAAATGAAGAAGATATTGTTATTTTTGGTGAATCCATTCGGTCACAAAAGTGGATGGAGTGTCATGATCCGCCATATCATCATATCAATTAGGCATTATTTGGCATAAAGTTATTGATATGGAAAGCTTACATAGGAAGAAGGCTAGTCTATAGTGGAAGATTCTAGAGATATGTGGAGATTTATCATTGAAGATCTTAGAATTTCACGGATTTGATGAAAGGTCCTTGGGATCTTCTAGTTATGTAGAGATAAGAATGACTTATTTGTAAACTAGGTAATGTTGCCCGTGCTATGCACGGGCACGGGCCCAATAATATAAATGGAATGTTTTGGGGCTAATAACGGAGATTTTGAAGCGATTGTTTGCGTGGATAAAGGAATAAGTTTTTTTATCACAAACTTGTATTTTATTTGACGCTATTCAAGGCACAATAAGACTATCCACATACAACATTTTTGAAATATTTTATGTTGTCAATTATCATGATTTATAGTATTTTTACGATAGATTCACTTAAAGAATGAGTGGAATTTTTTGTATTTTTTTTCAAAACATATTTTATGTTGTCAATTATCATGATTTATAATATTTTTACGCATTTTTTAAATATAAAAAACCCAAAAAAAAATAAGACAAATAAATTAAAATGGACCCAATATATGTTATTTTTGTTGTCTCAATTTATGTCACACAAATAAAATTTGGAGAGTCATCCAAATTTTAATTTTTTTTTTTAAAATGTTTTAAGTTATTAATTATTGTGGTTTATAATATTTTGATGTAACTTTCAAATAACCAACATTACTGGTCACTTTGTCCTAATTTATGTGATATGGATAAAAATACAAAATTAACCCTTTTAAAATGTCTTTCAGATATTTTAAGTTGTTAATTATTATTATTTATAATACTTTTTTGGTAATTTTAAAATGATATGTGTTATTTTTTCTGTCCTAATATATGTGAGCCTGAAAGAATTCTGAGAGTGAACCTATTTTATTATATAGCTTTTAAATATTTTAAATTGGTAATTATTCTAATTTTTAATGCTTTTTAAGTCATTTGTAAATGATATATGTTGCTTCCTTTGTCCCATTTTATATAGTATAAATAAAATTCCCGAAACCAACTAAATTTTTAATATATTTTTAAAAATATTTTAAATTATTAATTATTGCGATTTATAATATTAAAAAAAAAGTACAAAACTTGTATCAGCCTAAAAAATGACCACGATAATTCGAAGCCTACAGAAAGCAATATGGTTGTACGTAATTTTTAAATACTTAATATATATTACTCCACTTGTCTCAATGTATGTAGCATTGATAAAATTTCAAGATTCAATCAAATGTTGTTAATTGTTAACATTTATAATACATTTTACGTAGTTTTCAATAATTTCACATTAAACAATACATATTACTATTTTTGTCTCATTTTATGTGACATTGATAGATTAATTTTAAGAATCAGTCAATTTATTTTTTCTGTTTTTTTAATAAATATTTTAAGTGGTCAAAATCACGATTTATTGTTTTATACATAATTTTTAACGATAGATTAATTTCAAGAATTAATCGAATTTTTTTATATGTATTTATTTTTGAAATATTTTATGTTGTCAATTATCATGATTTATAGTATTTTTACGCAATTTTTAAATATAAAAAAAATTAAGACAAATAAATTAAAATGGGCGCAATATATGTTATTTTTGTTATCTCAATTTATGTGACACAAATGAAATTTGAAGAGTCATCCAAATTTGCATTTTAAAAAAAAATGTTCTAAGTTATTAATTATTGTGATTTATAATATTTTTATGTAACTTTCAAATAACTTACATTACTGGTCACTTTGTCCTAATTTATGTGATATGGATAAACTTACAAAATTAACCATTTTAAAATGTCTTTCAGATATTTTAAGTTGTTAATTATTATTATTTATAATACTTTTTTGGTAATTTTGAAATGATATATGTTATTTTTTCTGTCCCAATATATGTGACCCGGATAGAATTTTGAGAGTCAACCTATTTTATTATATATCTTTTAAATATTAAATATTTTAAGTCATTTGTAAATGATTTATTATATTATATATATATATATATATATATATATATATATAATAAAAGGGGTTTTATTATGATATTATATAATAGTAGAATATATATTATATAAACTCCCTTTTATTATATAGTAGAAATTACAATTACAAAATTAATCCTTTTAAAATGTCTTTAAGATATTTTAAGTTGTTAATTATTATTATTTATAATACTTTTTTGGTAATTTTAAAATGATATATGTTATTTTTTCTGTCCCAATATATGTGACCCGGATAGAATTTTGAGATTGAACCTATTTTATTATATATCCTTTAAATATGAAATATTTTAAGTCATTTGTAAATGATTTATTATATTATATTATTATATATTATTTAAACTCCCTTATAGTAGAAAAATAAATATATATTATATAGTAGAAAAAATGATTTATTATATTATATATTATATAGGGAGTTTATGATTGGACATTACAATGTCCCATCATAAACTCGCATATAAGAGAATATATCAAACTTGTCTAATAATTATTATTACATAATATCTCTTAAATAAGTAGAGCAGCACCCATTTATAAAATAATTAAGAATCAAGCAAATTTTTCTAGTCTTCAATAATACAAAAGTCTTCTTTCTTAAATTCCTCAGCAATCTATTACTAATATAATTTACGAGGTAATTATTACCTACTTAAGAGTATAATTTATAGGATAAGTTTATTATAAATAAAATTTGACTAGTTGTTGAATATATTTTTATTTGATATAAATGATTTGTAATCAACTAATCATGGACTTTCAATTATTCAGAGTCGCATCCCTTTGTTAAAATACCATTCCAAAAAAGCTGCTTATTTGTCTCTTTCAAGAAACCTCACATTCTTCATCATCATTAATGGGCTTTGACAGGAATAAAAACGAGTTGTTCATTCAGTTTTGGTTGGTGGACGACTGATGACTCTCTCCAAGTCCAAGATTCACATCAATCTAAATTGGGACTTTAGCAATTTTGCATAGGAAAGTTGATTTCATTTCTCAGTGGGTGGGATTCTGTGGGAACCAAATGACAGTAAGATTTTCTTGCTGTTTTTCTGTATGGGGTGTTAGATCTTGCTTTGCTTTATAACCCCTTTCTTGTGCTTTTACCCAATTTCTGTATATCTTTAAGTTGATTAAGTTTTTGCTGCAAAATCTTGAAACTCCAATTCAAGAAAGTTAGGGTTCTTTCCCTCTTGAGTAATTGAGTTTTGATGCTGATCATTCTGTAGTTTTTTTTTTTTTTTTTTATGAATTTCGGAAGTTATAGCAAATTCTTGAATCTCAATTTAAGAAAGTAGGTTTCTATGTGAATGATTACCCCTCTTGAGTAATTGAGCTTTGATGGGCTGTTTGGTAAATCATTTTGTAGTTTTTTTCTTTAATGAATTTGGGAAGTTAAAGCAAAATCTTGAATCCCAATTTAAGAAAGTAGGGTTCTTTGTGAATGATTACCCCTCTTGAGTAATTGAGTTTTTGATGACTGTTTGGCAGATGATTCTGTAGTATTTTCTAATGAATTTGGGAAGTTATAGCAAAATCTTGAATCCCAATTTAAGAAAGTAGGGTTCTTTGTGAATGATTATGTAATTGAGTTTTGATGGGCTGTTTGGCAGGTCATTCTGTAGGATTTTTTATGAATTGGGAAGTTATAGCAAAATCTTGAATCCCAATTGAGATGTGCGGAAGTGGTACAACTACTACTACTATGTTGCCTGAAGTTTGTGGATCTAGCTTCCTTTTATCACTGCCTGATGACGTGTTTGCGATAGTAAGTAGATCACTTTCACCAAGGGATGTATGTAATCTTGGTTTATGCTGTAGAAACTTGCATGATTTAGCTGCCTCTGAGAAGGTTTGGCTATCGCAATGTGAATTGCTTGGGGTGGTTCCTTATCGGGACGTTATTGAATGGCGAAAGGGAGTTTGTTCCTACAAGGCGCTTTGTCACTTCCTTGTAAGCATAAAGCCTTTGCTTGGTATTTGGGTTCATCAAAATCCTGAACTCGGCAATGTTGTTTATGTTATGCCTGGTTTTATCTCCGCAGTTGGTTGTCGGATTATTCCCCAAGAACTCGGTCCATTAGGCCTTGAAGACAGTCCAATTTTGTGGTCGCCTGTATTTGAAGTCGTTTCTGATTTTGAGGGTTCTGCTGCATTTTTCCTTCATGGTAGGGAGAATGGAACTGACTATGTTTATCCTGGTTCGCTCAAGAAGGTCGAGAGGACTTGCAATGTGCTTATGTTAGAGGTTGAGCCTCAGCAGTACACAAGTGGGGGTAAGTTGTTCCACAGCAAGAGTTTTATTCATCCTTCAGAGAATGAGGCATCACGGAAGATATGCAGATCCAATAGTGGGGTTTCTGTGTCAGAGAAGGTAACGGAACAGCGTGCAACAACAGTGCCCTTTGGCCGGCTTGCATTTGCTGATAGGAGAAAGTTGCTTGACACAGTTACTAACCAAGTTCGTCAAACGCTGCCAGATGCTAAAGATGCCATATTATTTCCTCGTTTGAGAAGAGAGGAGGCTGATTTACGAGAGAATATGAAACTCTTGTATGAAAGGAGATTGCTCTTTATGCAAATGTACGATGGTGGTGGCGGTTTTACTGTCTGGAAGGCTGGTTCTGAGTTGCCTTTGCATCCTTCTCCTGTTGGATTGAGTGAGTTCAGACGGAGTCTTGATCTGATAAGTGGCTGTCATGCATCACAAACTGCTACTGATCATGAGAGTCGGAGTCGGAAGTCACTGGCTGGATATGTTAAACACAGTCTAAAATATATACTCAAGAAGTCAAACTCTATCAATGGCAAACGTGATCTCCTTGGAAAGAATTCCTCTGGCCACGGAAGTAAGCATGCCCAGCTTCACGAGTTCTTGCAGCCAGGTGATGCAATAGGGCTGACATTACATGCTTCAACTGTGAAGTTATCCTCTTATCGTGCTTGGCCAAATATGCACGAAAGTAAATATGCTCTGTACAAGTTGCCTATGCGGGCACCAGAAGTGGGCCAAGAATATGCTGGTGTATGGGGAGGGACTTTTGGTTGGCCCCCGGGGAGGCCTTCTGATGATAAGCCCGGAAAAGCATTGTTTCTTCTTTTGTTGTCTTATGAGGAGTCCCAAGGTCAGAAGCAACTTATTGCGACCAAGATATTAGAAGGTACACATTATGTTTTGCATCCTAATGGCTCAGCTATGTTTATAGTAAATATTGAAGAGCCTTCGAATGATCCATTTCCTTGGTGCACCGATGGGCATGATTCCAACCCTGTAGATGTTAAGCATGCTTTTATGGGTGTAGGTATTGCTAACGGGTATGGTTTTCGATATCCTGGTTCAAAACCTGGTTCACTCTTTGTAATCCATGATAAAATGCTTGCTTTTATATGGAAGGAGTCCAGGTCTGTGTTGGCCTTGCAGAGGCTCGATTTGCAAGAGGTTTTGAGCAAGGGGGAAAGGATCCCTGCTCTACCTCCGGTTTCCAATTTTGCATACCTTACCAGGTCCTATTCAAATGTGTTTGCCAATGGTCTGACTTCACCAAGGCAGAATCATCCGTAGGGATGACAAGTTAGCAGAGCAAAGAATCTTTTGCTAGAAATGGCCGAAAACCACAAAAAAAATAGGTGGAAAAAGCTTAAGTTTGTTGTACTTGTAAGTTCGTTTAATTCACACAGCAGGGTGATAGAGGTGTGTGGTTTGCATGTTACTCAACTGCTTGTGGCGTATGGCGAGATTTTTCAACTTTCTATTTATGATTCCTGGCAGGAATAAAGCTTCTTCAAACCATTCTGTAGTTTTATAATGAGGGTACCATTTCCATATTTATTGAACAATCTTTGTGCTGTTGCTAATTATGAAAGAGTCATAGTTTCCTTGAAGCAGGAATGAGGTTGCACCTTCTCTTGATATTATTTGTTATAAACTTATCTTCTATGAAAAATTGATTGAGTTAATGTTTTCCATTGGGAATTAAGATTTTTGCAAATGTATAGGTTGATATGATTAAATTATTGAAATAAATTGGCATAATACTTTTTTTTTTTTTTTTTTAAAAAAAACAACCAAGGGCAATCATACACCTTGATGAATTCTAGGGTGGATGTAATTCAGTTCAAACGAAATAGGGAGGAACATTGACGAAGCGTTAGAGGGTAATATTAGCTAAGCGGGAAAACAAAGAGGTAAGTGGGAACAGCATCCTGGTCCAGGCTCCCCTTGAAAACCATCCTTGGAAGGGAACATGAGTTTCTTGCATCCAAGAGTTCTCTAACGAGGTTAAGGCATGACCTAGAAAACGAAAATAGTGAGATCCGGGGTCTCAAAAAGTAATTTCATAAGTGAGGTTTGATGGGTAGAACGGTATTTTTTGGGAAAGAGCTGGTTGAATTTGCTACCCCTAAAATTGAGAAACAAAGAAGGCAATCTCCAATTTGATTTTACTTGGTCCCTATAATTTCATTTTTCTTGTCTATTTTATTAAATCAAGAGATATTATCCTTATACATCACTAATAAGATTAATTTAATAAAATATAACATGAGTATTTGTGAGTTGAAAACTTTGGTATGGCTCCCCATCCCCACCCCTACCCCTGTATGTGCCAAAGAAAAATGCATTAGAAATGGTTCTACTAACATGTGAGTTAGTTTGAACATAAAAATTGTGTGATTTATACAAGAAAATAGGGAAACGAATTACCTGTTAAAAAGTACTTTTTGAACTGAAAAGGGAAAAGAACCTTTTTATTTTTTTTATTTTGAAGATTTTGAAAGATGAAATGAAGGATATTTCTGAATTCACATATTTATAGGTTAGTGGGACCTTTGTAGGTTAGAAAGTTTGTTTTCAAGAAAAATTGTGTTAGAGGATATGTTTGTAAAAAAATATGAGTAAAATGCTATGATGAAATACTGAAGAAAGAAAAATAAGAATAGAAATAATATTGATAACCAAAGTAAGAGGACACTAGCATAAACGCGTAATAATAATAACAACATTGGTAAGAGAGCACGGAGTTGCTCCAAACTAGAACCCTGTTCTACCACCGGGTAGAGAGAAATCACTCTACTATCAATTAATTATTCATCCTTATCCTCGATTTTCATGCTTCCCTACCTCCTCCTTCTCTTAACATGCTTGAACCATCTCAGACTGATAGTGTAATGACTATCTCGCTGTCTTCAACACGGCAATTGAATTCTCCGTGAAGATACTAGAACACATCAAATTGAAAATCTAATCCCAACCTCTTTGGAAGGAGCTCCAAGAAAATACTTGGCATCAAAATGGGGAATTTAAAACGCTCCCTACATTCTAATTTGTTTTAAAAGTATTTAACAGTGAGATTAAAGAAGACTGGAACTATGTGAGTTACTAACTGGGTCTAAGTTCACAAATTTATTTCACTGTTCATAAGTATGGCAGTAAACAGTAGTTCACTAGCAATAAGGTAATTAAGCTTTCAGTAGTAGTAATCTAAGCTTTTATATCCCTTCCCCTTGATCCCACAATGTAATATAAAAATTATACATAAACCAAAAATATAAAATAAATAAATAAATAGGGTAAGCTTCACTTGCTTATATAAGAAAATTTCAACTAGAAGAGGAAGAAATACAGGCTCAAAATCATGCTAATAAATGAATGAAAAAGCTTAACAAAAGTGGAGACAGAAAAGGGAAATCACAATGAAATTTTCATTTAATAGTACTTATATGGTTTTCCTTATAAGGGTGTTAAGCCCATCTATACAAAAATCATTTGGGGCTAAACACCCAATGATCACAATCACAAGGTGCTAATTTTCAACGCTGTTTAATTACAGTTATCGCTTGATACAACATTTGAGGCCTCTCATACAAGGAAAATGTGCACAAAATGCTGTACACTAGGTGGTGGCAACTGCATCCACAAGTAGCTGAATATCACAAACACATCATGTTTGGATGGTGCTATATTCTGCCATTCTTGATCTTTCTACAGGTTGAGGCTCGAAGAATCCTGTCATGGATACAGCGATTTGAGGGCACTGCTATAATAGCTACTGAAGAAACATCCATATTTTCCTCTTCAAAAATGAAACACCAATCAGGTACTCGTACTCCATAATATAGCTCGTGTCTTTTTGATGACATAATTATGCTTCATTTCACCCTGAATGCCAATAGAAATGAACCAAGAAGGTTATTACAAGACAACAAAATCCAAACATCTGGGAAACTGATGCTTAGATTAGCCAACAAGAGTAAAATAATAACCAGTACTCGGTACTGCACTTAAGAACTGGGATACAAGAAGGTAGGATGCTTCACTTGGCATAGTTCAGGATTTTGGGTACAAAAGCAGCAATAGCTTAACAAGTGGAAATAAAAAGGAAAGGATCAGGAAATGTACTCAATACTTCACAGCTAGCTGCCAGGAGCTAACAACAGACAGTAATGACACATCAAACCATATGAACTTTTCTCCATGAAAGACATAGAAGCATACCTCAATTCAGCATCACTTCCAGTGATGGTATTGTTAAATTTACACCACAGCCCAGAACAGCAAATTCACTATGTCATAGAAGCTTTGGATTTTGAATTCCTCGGAACGCTAGTTTTACGAAGTTGAGGGTTTTCTATTGAATAAACAAGAAGACTTCCATCCTTAGTCCCAGCTATAAAGCATTCTTCCGGTGTCACAGTTAGTGAAGTTACTATTTTCCCAATACCATTGTACTTCCCCACAATCTCAAGTGAGTTCATAGAGCGTACGATGATCAGCCCTTGATCTCCAGCACAAACCAAGAACTCTCCGCAGCTACTGAGTTCAAGACAGTTTAGGCGGCCATTGGATTCAGAAGATGAAATGTGTTTGCCATTTATAGAGTAGAGGTGCAAACTAAGATCATCATCAGAATAAAGAACAATCCTTCCATGACGTGATGCAACAAGCTTTGACAGTGGACTGCCAGATGGATGTCGTAGGGATCTAACGTATCTCCCATCCCGTAGCGTATGGAAAACACAAGTTCCATCTTTTGATCCACTTATAACTATATCAAGCTCAATACTTGCATACAAGCACGTAATAACGTCATCATGACCACACAAAATATGGAAAGGGGCTTCAGCAATGATACAATCTTTCCGAGGAACCTCTGCTTGAGTGTGCTTTACTCGCTTTTCAGAGGTTCTGATGCGAACAATCTCCCAGATCATTACTGTTGTGTCGTAACTTCCAGTAGCCAGGATGCTTCCATCAGATGTAACTGCAACAATCAAAAATGGTTTGGAACTTAGCATTACTGTAAAATATAGAATAACTAAAAAATATGTCTTGCCAGTGCTGTAACCAGGCAGTACATTTTGATGAAGTAAACAATTTTATTAATGTTGGGAGAAGAAAACTTCTGCATACAGGAAGCATACCAAAGAAGCAGAGAACCTATCCCAAAATATGGTTGTCTACAAAAGACAGGATATTTAAAGAAACAAAACAAAAGAGGGTTTCTTATTCCTTTTTTATGAAGTAAATTGCCTTAGTTAAGGCATCAAGAAGATGCAGGGAGATCTAATTTACAAAATAGTTACCAAATGTAAAGATTTTGTGTATTTAAGTATAATATACATGATCAATGTATAGGTTTTGGATATTTGGGCTAGTGGCCGTAACTAAGTTCGGCTGACGGGCGAAAAATGAAAGAAGCCCAATTACATAAGGGGTCAAAAGGCTAGCTCCAGTACAATTCCTAGAAGCAGCTAAAAGTGTGGAAAAAAAAAAAAAAACTGTCAACAGCAAAAGGCTAGCTGCAAAACTATACCTATGCTAATATCAGGGAGCTAACAAAATCCAAAAATCATCAACACTGTTTCCCCTTTTTCTTTTTAGATGGGTAGGATGCTTATGGAAAACTCTGAAGACTTGCATCAAATATCGAGGCCAGTGCATGCTTATTCTCTGATAGTATTCATCCTAAACAGTCTATGAAGATCTAAAAGTCATAAAACAAAGAGATACCAAGTTAACATTTCAACCATGGTAATGATTATTGTCCCTCATCTGTGACCATTCCTATAGGAAGCCATGGAAAGACGAAAAAGAAAAAAAAGGTTTCAGAATTGTGCCCCATCCTCCTCGTAGTAATGAATATTGTCCCTCATCTGGGACCATTCCTATCGCCTCTCAAGAGGGAATAAACAAAAAAAAAATGCACAGAGAAATACACCACTTTCATTTTATTTTATTTTGAAACTGAACACCTCCTTCAATTGTTACAGCTCTACTACACATTTATTGTTCCTCTTTGCCTAGGTTGAACCACAAGTATCTGATATTTTGGTATTCTTCAACGTCAAAAAGTTGTCAATTAACTGTATCGACATGACAGGAAACACCACCCCACCCTCAAATTTGGCATAAAAACATGGCCTATTCTCACACAGATACTCAAACCATGTAAGAGTATTTATTGTTACTGGTAGACAAATTCTTAGTTCCAAACTGATTCACAACACTATAAGCAAATAAACATTGTAATATAAGTACATAATTACTGTAATCAGGTGTGATGAAAGCTTTGCCTTCTTGATTTGAAGTCCTAGTTCCCAAAATATTAAATTTCACTTTTTAGAAAGCTCACGAGTATCCTCTCTCTGTGGATCAATATAATTTAACATAGATGCGGGGTGGAGGCTAACGCTAGAAGGTCTTTGCGTTGTGAAAGAAGATTTAAGTGGTAAATCAAGAAGCTTGGCAGAGATGACAAAATGTGCTGATAAAACTTCAGAAACAGCTTTTCAGTTGTTTCCTGCACTTTTCCCAGAACTCAAAATAATTTTCAGCTATTGAATGAGAAGCCCATACTTTCTGTGTTTGCTTTTTCTCTATGAAACAAAAAATAGTAAGAGCTAAGCAAGAGTATCAAGAACCAGGAGTACCAAGCAAAATACCTGC